GAATGACAACGTACATATTGCTCTATTCAAATCCCGGGGTCCACAGTTCATAGAACTTTACCATATGCAAAACTCACATGTTATTCTTCAAAATATAGATCACGGTATGTCTCCTTCCTCACATTGTCTTTTTCTGTCTTCAACTTTAAATATGTTGATTCTAGAGTGAAGCTACAATCATAGTCATGCTTCATCACAATGTCTTCATCTTTCAATTATTCAGGCAATTTTGCACAAAGAGTGCACTAATGTACCTAGTAGAAAAGACTAGAGAACATATTTTTTGCTAAATGTATAAAAAAAATATTATCTACAGGGCTACAGGCTACAGTCTAGTGTACTCAAAAGTTCAAATCTCAGTTTTGACGCCTTTGACCTATTTAAGCAGATAAATACACGGGATGTCATCGTCTGATTTGGTCAATGTTAGGGAGCAGGTCGTTTTCAAAAGAAATTTCAAATTTTGCCCACGATATATTTTTTAACTGAGAAGCTGCTCATTTGCAGAGAAAATGAACCAGCACATGCAATGACAATGTTAGTCAATGTTAGGGAGCAAAATGATTTCACCAGAACTACACCTAACATTGACAAGATTTATTTCATATTATTTTTAAAAAAATTAAATAAAGGACGGCGTATCTATCTATTTGAAGTAAGAAATATTTTAATCAGTATTTAGACTACCTTGGATAGCAATTAGAAGCCTTCGTTAAAATACGTCAAAAAGTTATAATGGAAAAACGATTATTTCGAGTGCAGAACGTTCGCGCCTTCTTTAGTAACTTCGTAATAGATCATAAAATACTTCCGCAGAATTTCACACAGAAGCATGATTGACATTGTCATTGCATGTGCTGGTTCATTTTCTCTACGAATGAGCAACTTTTCAGTTAAAAAATATATTGTGGAAATCTTGAAATTTCTTGTGAAAACGACCTGCTCCCTTACATTGACCAAATCAGGCGATGACACCCTGTGATATAGCCTAATTTAAAAGTGATATAATTTGAATAGAATATAATTTAAAACCTTAACATTTAAAAATACATGTAGATCTATGGTTTACAACTCATTTTAAAATGTTAAGAACTCCCTGGTTGGCCCATCTACCACTCTAGGGACTGAGTCCCTTTATGTTGAGATACCCAACGACTGTCAGGCTACCGCGTTAACATCGCCCCTCTTTACCAGTAGTGCAGGCTTGTTGTTGTGCGCTGGGGACCATTTACATTAAAACATGGTCCAGTGGGTAAAAATAGTCTTCCATATTTTGCCTTAAAATTTCAGAACTATTTAGTTCATTCAATGTTAATTTTGTTGTGAAAGTTTGATGATAATCTGCTTATTGAGTCAAAAACTACAGCACTTTACAACACATGCCCCATGTGACCACCTCTCCGGCCAACTGAGATGTTGATGACTCTCCTACACACATCAACATGGATTGCAAAGCTTCTGATGAAGCTATCCACTTGAAAATTTTGACATGTAAAGCAGAACATCTGGGAGAGAGACACGTCCTTGGTCTGACACTAGTTTTACTTATCTAGATCAATTTTTAGTCATTCCATGGACAATTGAACAACTTTCTTCGCCGGATTCAATTGTACATATAGAGGAGAGGTGGCCACATGGAGCATGTCATTTCATTAACTTGGTCAATCTTGAATATTCTGCCTTGAAATTTCAGAATTATTTAGTTCATTCATTGTGAATTTTGTTGTGAAAGTTTGATGAAAATCTGCCTATTAAGTCAAAAGCTACAGTACTTTACAACACATGCTCCATATGGCCACCTCTCCTCTATGCACAATTGAATCTGGCGAACGAACCTATTGATAACTTTCCTACACACGTCACACACCAACATGGATTGCAAAGCTTCTGATGAAGCTATCCACTTGAAACTTCGGGCATGTAAAGAAGAACATCTGAGAATTTGTCTGACACTAGTTTTACTTATCTAGATAGATTTTTAGTCATGCCATGGACAATTGAACTACCTTTCCCAGATTTGATTATGCATTTAGAGGAAAAGTGGCAAAATGGGGCATGTGTTGTAAAGTGCTGTAGTTTTTGACTCCATAGGCAGATTATCATCAAACTTTCACAACTAAATTAACATTGAATGAACTAAATAATTCTGAAATTTTGAGGCAATACATGCAGGATTGACCAAGTTAATAACTTTTCTTCGGTCCTGTTTTTTGGACACCCTGTAAATCACAAACTACTATTTTATCTAAGTTTCTAAGTTTAAGACTACAAATCATTTTCAGGGCTTGAGAATGAAAATTCTAATGAAACCTCGACGTTAGGCCTACATTTAGTTGACATTTCCTTTATCAATTCTTTAATCTAATGTTGAAGGGCACATCAATAAATGGTGTTCTATGTTGTCTTTAACATTCATTTAACATGAGCAACCATGCCATTGCCTTGACCTCTTCTTTCAAGGTCAGTTAAACCAAGGCAGCTGCTCCTTGCCTTAAATTTAATTTTTTGCCCATAATGTGGTTTACAACTGACATTTATATACAATTTAAATACAATTTTCCATATATTATTGCACAGTTGTGTTTTGATTTCTTATATTTTTTACTGAGTTAGTAGACAGGTGAAATGGACCGTATCTATTAAATTGTGCACCAGTTTTGAGATACAACAGTTAAAAACTGAAAAAGGTCAAAGTTCGAAATTTTTCAAGGTGAAATTTCAACGCTTCAAAATGAACAACTTTTTGCATATTATCACCAAGTTGCAAGGAGTTCATATATGATCTTAAATTTGATATTTAACCTTTAGTTGACCTTCTAATTGGCAATGCTTACGGGGCCTCCGTAAGATTGCTTGCAATCTTCTAGTTATTAATGTAGGTATCTTTTTGGCGTATCATTCGGTGTGAAAATATATATAGGGAATTTTAAATCACAAATGTTTGCAAAATGATTGGAATTCTTGGAATTCTTGAGTAAGCTGCTTATTGCTAAAAAAATATACGTTCGGTTTGAATCATAAAAATATGTGGCGTGTCATACTTAGGAGTTAGTAGCTCTTCAAAAAAAAGTTTTCATTTTAAAATTCTACTGAATTTTGCTTTTAAATTTGGCCCAAAGGGCTCCTCTACTATGTTTGTGAGTAAGTTGATTTGAAAAAAAAGATTACCGATAATATCGAAAATATAGGATCTATATCGATTAATCAAATCGGAGGTAATTTTTAGCGATAATATCGGTGCATCGAGCAATTGCAGGATCCCTAGTAGCCAGTAGGAGATTCAAAAAGTGACCATAATTTCATCCCCCTTGATTGGTTTTGCTGGAAGATATTGTCTAAAGGAAAGTCTTCCTTTAAATTTGACCATAGGCTCATCAAGAGTAAACAGTCCATTGGGAGTATAAGCAGCCTTGAAGTTTGCATTCACATCTGTTATAAATTTCTGAATCTTCCATAACTTGTCATTGCAATCAATGTTGGCATTCTCCTCCCAAGTGAAGTTACCTCCAAATGTCATTAAATCAGTCTTGTGCCATATACGTGCCAATGTTTGTTCCAAATAAATATTTGTTACAAAAAAATGTTTGGTTCTCCTCCAATAGTGAGCCCTGAAACAAACAGAACATGAGAGTTGAAACACACTGCTATATTCACCTGATATTAGCTTTAAAATGATTGGGAGGGATAACCGACATTGGTAAATCGCGCTCTATGAAATCAATGAAAATCATTCAAAAATATGGTCCCAGTGGTAATATGATACAAAAGTACTGATAAATTAAATACAGGTAGTTTATTAGCTGTTTGATATCCATGGACATGGTAAAGAAAAGAAAAGACCTTAGTTCTGGAATGGTCAGTTTTTGTGTGTCATTTAGGATTCTCATATCTATTTGTCTCATCAGTGATGCGTTGCAGTACATTCTCATCAAAGAATAGACTGAAGAAATGATCAGCTGTTGACTCAGGTCGTTCTAAATAAGGTATGCCTTGATCTTTCCTAAATCTAGGTGTTCTCTAAGCATGGAAATTGTCAAAGCGCCAAGCAAGATCAAAGCAGTCAAAGTCATCATCAGAGTCACTATCAAGCAAATTCCCGTGTTGATCCAATCCTAACTTAGATTCAATCTTGGATCCATATCGGGATTGATATCCAGATCATTTCCAATATTCTACCTGTCATTTAAAATAGTTTCCGATAAAATTTTCATCATCTGAATCAAATAAATCAACTTCACTTCCCACGCTAATTTCACTGTCTGATTAGTCCGCCATTTTGTCTTCTTTGATTTTGTCACTAATTTATTACAAAACTTTACAAAAACATCGATAATGGTAGTAAATTTTTGTAAAATCCAAAGATTTCCAACAAGGAAGTAGGTCACTACCACTGCGCATGTCCGGAAATAATCTACTAAACGAGTGGGGTCAAGGTAAACAAATGGCTTCATGAATATTACGATTGAAATCGCATTCCGGTAAATATGAGTATTTCTGACACTACGACTGGGATCGTATACCGGGATTTAAGGGTTAAGCGAAGAAGTATATTGACGATTTGTTCACAAAAGCCTATCTTTTCTAAAGCATAAAACCATGACACATGATTGTGCAAAAAAGTTTTAATGATTCTGCCTACATATAGTGGAATCATGGGAAAAGAAAAAAAATCATGAATTCTCTCGAGCCATAAGAGTTATTATATTAGCCATGAGGAATTTGAGATATTGAGCCTTGCTTCCTTATCTCTGTTCTTTTCATAGTGGTTTTAATGAATCTATCATTTTTGATCTCCTTGAAACCTCTCTCTAGTGAACACCTGCTAGTGGACATATACTATACTGACTTCTGTATAAATTACCCTATGTAGTATCCACCTACCAACACTGAACTTTTTTTTTTCTTGGCAAAAAAATGTTCAATTATCACAATCTTTACTGTATATCCAATAATTGGGATAATTTATAAGATTGTGAATTGTATCTTTTGCTGTGTTTCAGAAATGTATGGCAATGAAGATGGAACAATACCTGCTACATACCAGATGATATATTTCATTGGTTGGAAACCAGATTCATCTCAGGTAAGTTGATTTTAACTCTTGTATAAATTATATATGCCTTATGTTTTTGTATTATAGTTAAGAGTTATGAACTGGGAGGTTTTGGATATAGGGTATATCCCGAGGGATATATATATATATCCCTGAATTTTCCTGAGGGATATACCCTATATCCAAAATTGAATGGATAACATAACTGGTGTACAGTGTGTCCCAAAAAAAAGGAAACCAGCAATAGATTGCTTATTTCTCAAATATAAATAATAATAGGAAAATTTCACAGCTACCATCTGATAGGTTATGATGTCCTTTTTCTCATGATACCAAAGGTGTTTATTTTTCTTCACGGATGACTGAGTTCTAAGAGATTTCAATGACCATGTCAGAAATTGGTTTGTGCCACTTTTTCGTCATGAATGGCTGAACAATGAGGGATTAAAATGGCTATGCCAGGATGGTTATTTGGGGGTATTTCTTCAAGGATAAAGTCTACACAACATCACCAAGAGACGTTGATGATCTAAGGGCCAGGATTGTCGCAGCAGTGGAGGATCTAAGGGGACAGAGAGACATCATCAGGGATGCAGTACGTGCTATGAGATCAAGGGCAGACATTTGCATTGAAAGGAATGGGGGTCATGTTGAAGGACACTGGGGTTAAAACAACTTTGAATGGACATTGGGATTTAAAAGGGGAATTAAATATGATATGTGTAATTTTAATTGGAATAAATGAGTAAAAGAGTGATATCCTGATGTTTGTTGTTACTTATCACTTTGTTATGATGGTGAAATTGACTTGGCTGAAAGTGGTACAAACTCATTTCTGACATGGTCACTTAAATCCCTTATAACTCAGTCATCCGTGAAGGAAAATAGACAACTTTGGTATCATAAGAAAGAGGACATCATAATCTATCAGATGGTAGCTGTGAAATTTTCCTATCATTATTCATATTTGAGAAATAAGCAATCTATTGCTGGTTTCCTTTTTTTTGGGACACACTGTATATTATACTCGAGTGGGTTTGGAATAGATTTAACCTTTTCCACCTTTTTCAAAAGATAGGCCTATATACTGTAAAAGCACAATTTATATCTAACATTTTCCTAATATTCATTTATCATTTAGTTCTTTACAATTAAGTTGAAATATTTAAACATTTTAAAGAAAATTAATGTTTAAAATTTCAAATATTTAAATTTTGGAAAATTCCCGGTAGCGGGATGAATATATTATATCTGCCCGTATTTTGCCTGGAGCGGAACATATCTATCCCAAACTCACCCAAGTATGAGATACACATTTTGTCTTGACTCAAAATCTATATATTTTGAGCATGCCCTGCTATATCAGATGAGCTTAGATACAATGACCTTATATGCTGGTTTCAAAGGAATAAAAAATGAATTTTTTGTAGACCTTGCTTGCCAGATCGTATTCTTCCTTTTAAAATATGAAAGTAAAAAGCAGGTCTTTTGAAGTATTATCTATGAATTATACTGCTTAATGGTTTATTATGACATGTGTCCTCCTCCATATTGAAATATATTGAATTCTTGTATGAGAAAGTACAAAGACAAGATTTTGAAAAAGCAGGTCTTTTGAAGTATTATCTATGAATTATACTGCTTAATGGTTTATTATGACATGTGTCCTCCTCCATATTGAAATATATTGAATTCTTGTATGAGAAAGTACAAAGACAAGATTTTGAAACAATAGCTTAAGACCATGTTAACAGCTTAAAACGTGTATAAACTTTTTCTCACATGATAGTACATATACCTTTTCAGAAACGGCCTGCAAAAAGAGGCTCTGGCCAAGTTTCAATCAAAGACATTGATCATCTTGAAGATGTTACAAAGCAAGTGAGCAGTGATAGATACAAAACAGAGAACATTGATGATAAAACAAAAGACAGTATTAAAGTATTACATAAACAAGATAATGATACTGAAAGAGAGAAATGATGAAATTTATTTATTAACTTATGACAGCTCTGAGTCAGTTCAAGAATGCATTTAAATATTCATGTATTGAGTATCCATAAAATGCGGTACATGACTTGTGTGGTTATTTACATGTAGAACTTTCATATCTGTGGTTACTTAGATATTTTATGACACCAACAAAAATACTGTTACTCAACTTACTTGGGACCCATCTTATTTCTCCAATTTTGCAGACTGAGAATTGCACCTTATAAAATTAAATTGCAGAGCAATCAAGCTAGGAATACTATCACAGATAATATGACTAAAAGTTTAGAATTAAAAATTGTCTTAAATTGTGGCAGTAAAAATATGATCCTCGATCAGGTTCTTATTCATTCTTCCTAAATTCTTTTCCAATTTTGTCAAATTTACCAATTAAACAGTATTAAATTAAGTAGAGAAACAGTAGTACCAAAGATAAATTTTAACCAATACAGCAAATAATAATCATGATATTGCAAATGTTTACATTAAGTTTGTATTCGCAAATGCATCTAATGACTAGCGGCTACCGGATTAATTATTATTTTATGACCAACTCATTTAAATATGAATAGTACCTGTCACTTTTCCATTCATATTTAAATGAGTTGCCCATAAAATAGTAGGTTATTCCGTCAGCTGACAGGTGTTAGTTGCATTCGCGAATACAAGCTAAGACTGAAATGTTTATTTATTTAAAATGTTCTATTTAATTATCAGTCTGGAAATATATCTATTTTTAGAGGACAAGTGTTTCTGAAGTTATGTTAAGTGAATGAGTTATTGCACAGTACCCAAATGTAAATAACTATATATTAATTTTTGCGTCTAAATACCTCCAATAACGCAGATGTGAGTAGGTAGTTACCAGATTCACCACCAGATGGCTCGTTCGGGTCAGATAGCATGGTGGGTATAGTAGAAAGTTCCCTTTAACTTAAATTACATCTATTTGTGTGGTTCAATTTTCATATAACCCTTATGTATCTAATAGTTATGCAAATTAAAATATGTTCAGTAAAAGAAAATGTTATTTGTCCAATACAAGATAAGATAATTCACTTTTTGTGATTTTGTAACATGGGGTCCTTGGGGAATCAACCCGAACAAGAAGTCACATTTTCCAATAAAAATTTTTTTCAAAGTTGATAGAAAATTTTCGAAACCATATTTCTAGATGTACTTTTACATGCAGATTTCATATATGACATCACTTAGACTGAATTTTGAATATTTAATGACCTAAATCAAGATTATTTCTACTCGCATCTAGTCTATTTAAATCCAGATACAACAGATACAGGGATAAGAATTAAAAAACAAGTAGACTTTTAGTAACCTTGTATTTGCGAATGCAGCTAACACCTGTCAGCTAACGGAATAACCTACTATTTCATGGGTAACTCATTTAAATATGAAAAGTACCATGCTGCTATTCCATTCATATATTATTGGTCATAAAATAGAAGGTTAATCCGGTAGCGGTTAGTTATCCCACCGAACGAAGTTCGAGAGGGATATAGGAAAGCCGTCCGTCCGTCCGTCCGTCCGTCCGTCCGTCTGTTTGTCCGGGCAATAACTCAAATACCGTTTTACGGATTTGATTCAAATTTTATAGGTTTATGCCTTATGGGTGTAGGACCTCTGCTCGAGAAGGAATTTTCAATATGGCCACTGAATTTAAAATGGCCGCCATTTTTCGTAAAAAACGTAATCTTTGATAACTCATATACCAGTGAACGGATTTGGTTCAAATTTTATATGCTGATGCCTAGGGACAAAGGAGTTTCGCACAAAAAGAGATTTTCAAGATGGCCGCTTAATTTCAAAATGGCGGCCATTTTTCGTAGAAATATGTAATCTTTGATAACTCAAATACCAGTGAACGGATTTGGTTCATATTTTATATGATGATGCTTAGGGACACAGTAGCTATGTTCGACAAAACATTTTCAAGATGGCCGCTTAATTTCAAAATGGCGGCAATTTTTCATAAAAAACGTAATCTTTGATAACTCAAATACCAGTGAACAGATTTGGTTGAAATTTTATATGATTATGCCTAGGGACACAGTAGCTCTGTTCAAGAAAAAATTTTCAAGATGGCGGCTGAATTTCAAGATGGCGGCCCATATTCGTAAAAAACATAATCTTTGATAACTCATTTACCAGTGAACGGATTTGGTTCAAATTTTATATGATGATGCCTAGTTCACAATGGTATAAACTAACTTTGTGCCAAATTTCATGCTTCTACCACAAAGTGCACAATTATTTCAACATTTACAGTAGCTATAATAAGCATAATATGTTTTGTTCGGTGGGATTTGCTACTCCGTGGAGTTGCTGTTTTTCTAGTTGCATTTGGGAATACAAGCTTAGATCGTGATCTGGAAAGAGAAACTTCTAGCAATATTAATCCACCTCTGTTGCTACCTTTAGCTAGAAAAAAGGAATGAAATCAAAAATTTACTATATCAACATTTGGAAGTTCTGTCAAATCAACCCCATCTTGGTAAATAAACTAAGGAAATTTGATATTATTCAGGAATTAGTCAACAATTATGAGAAATAAGTGGTCAAAAATTGCTAAAGAATTTGAAATATCTAAATACTTCAATTTTTCACATGATCATTATCTCTTTAAATGTCTGAGCAACTGAATTGAATCTAACTTAGCCTGGGCCAGTAGACTGAGGTCCTTGTAGGATCATTATACAGCCCTATTATTGGTATGTTGCCAGACCACTGTTGGTGATGAATGTGACAGTATCAAGATCTACAATCAAATTAAATACCACAATGTTTTTATGTTTCATAATCTCAAAAGTTCAAATGAAAATATTAGGATTGCATGTCAATTTTAGTAGCTCCCAGGTACTAAACCATTGGTCACTGTCTTATGATTATGCATAGGTTAATAGGTAACATCACCTACACAGTTACTGAGCCAGAACAGTGCACTAGTTTACTGCCTGATTGTATTGGCATGTGTGACTACACCCAGTTGCTAGATAAAACAGGAATTTACATAGAGGAACCATCAATAAAAGTAAGTAGATACACTTTTCTTTCGGTTCTTTTATTTATGCAAAATTCAATGCTCTATATTTATTATTATATACAGGCAAGTTTGCTCAATTTTCATCCATCCTGTTTAAAGCACTGAATATATTGGATAACTGGATATAGAATGTGATGTCATGTTAAACACTTTTAACATTTAATTAAGAAAATATGAAGATGCCATGTGCAACATACTGAATATTAATGGGACTACCAGTTTTTCTTTGGACCTTATGCCCTGGTCACATTTGCTCTGATTTTCGCTAAGGCGCCTAGCTGATTGAGTATTTTGTTCACAATTTAATACAATATTGAACAAAACATTTAATCGGCTGGGCTGGCCGATGGATCGGAGCAAAAAAGTTTCCCTACTGTCACCTATCTCCATATTTGTGGATCACATTAACTTTCTCATTTACTGATTTGACAGTTTGAAGTTTTGTAGTGTTGAAAGGTTCTCCTTGAAGTAACCTAATTGAAATTTTGATTCAAGATTTAATTTTTAATCAAATTGTCCTTCAAATTGTCCATGTATGCTCAAATGATTGTCCAATTCATATTTTCTATCAAAACTACTCTCCTCTGCTGATGACTGTGTGTGCAATATTTTTTTTTTACTTTGTTTTTATTTATTTCATTAAAACATGATAACATTTGTACATATTTGTGGCCGTGACACGTACATAGATATATAATTGACCACATTTAAAATCATTAATATAACTGTTGGTAGAACCAAGGTAAGTGAATGTTGATTTGCAGATCTAAATATCTGTCGGAATTAAAGTCTTTTCAGCAAAATTAGCAAATAATTATTTGAATTTCCTCATAGAGTCATAACAAGGGGTGAGCACATTAGAGAGATATATCTTCTAAAGGTTAATATGTGCATTGTTTACTCTGAACATGTTGGAAGTATTGAAGACTATATGTCCAATCACTTGGTTAGGGCTTATTATTAGAATTGTATTGAAAACCTCCTAGCCAATCAGAGTAAATGTTCACTGCATTGAACATGCCATATTTGTCACAGAATGATGCAGCAAAAGAAATCATATTTGAGCCATGGACTCGTTGATACTGTATTGTAACAGATCAGCCTAGCTGACACTAAGGGGCCCCCATTCATTAATGTTCAATGTCCCATTGAGTTCATAATCGTCTATGAAACGGCTCCTATAGTGTCTCGTCCATCCAGACCTTTGATTGAGTCTTTTGCCACACATCAAACATTCTTCTGGGGGAAGTTTAAATGAAATAAATTTGATTTTTTTTTCTAATTCAGCCTATATTAATCTTCATGAAGTTCCGCCTCAAGAAGATGGACACCCTCTTCAAGGACCCTTCTCTCTCTCTGCGCAGATTTTAAGATATCATTTAATCTTAGACTGTTGATTTTGAGACTCTGACCCCTACGCTCAGGGATGTTAATGACCACCTTCGAGTAAAAATTTTCCTGTACAAGAGTATTGTGCCTTTCAAAAACTTTGTCAGGAATAGTGTTCTCAACATTTGCTTTTTGTATGTTATTTACAAGATTGTCCCATGGGTTATTATTTGGTGGATCCCTACTCCACTAAATTGATCCTGAAATTGTATTAATGATTAATTAAATAATAATAATAAAATAATAATAATTAAATTCCCCATTTAAAGATTTTCATGACTTTCCAGCATTTTACACAAATATAAACTCATGTTCCTATGATTATCTGGGATATTATTGGTATTAGGTCTGATATCCCCTCACCAAAAATTTCTCTATATCTAGAGACCTCTCTAGTAGCTAGTGTTTCACTAGTGATTTCTCTAGTTCAGTGTCTCTAGTAAATCACTAGAGAGTCACTAGTGACATTTCTTAGTTCTCTAGTGATCTCTACTTTCACTAGTGAATAGCTATCACTGGTAAATCTCTACTTTCAGTAGATTTACCATTAGTCCATTTACTAGCCAAAGGGTTGTAGTATACCGGTTTACAGTTATAATCCAAAATATGAATTGTAAAATGATAACTTCAGCATAGCATGATAACTTATTTCAAAAATTATGTCACAAAGCGTGGGTGTTGTTTTTTGTGTAAGATCAAGTTGTGTGTTTTGTCAAGTTTTTCTTAGGAAATTGAATTTATATTTGAATGGCTGTTTGTTTATTGACGTAATTATTGAAATTCAATTAAAAGGGACGTATTGTTAAAGTACTCAAGAAGAACAAATTATGATTGTGTTTCTGTCAAAGTTTTTATTTTTATAATCTCCTTCCCGTATCTACCTTTTCAGCTCTCTTCCAAGATTTTTTCTAACACATTTTTTTACCCTCCACCAAATATATACTGAAGCGGGAACGTTCACCCGGTTCTTATATTGAGACTGGGAGACGAGAATAGTATAGCGGGAGGGGTTAACAAGAGTAATTTATACCAACTCTAAAAGTCAGTCATGTAGCGTACCTTCCACATATACTTACATACGACAAACTAATCCAATGTGTTTCAATAATGTATTTCCAGTATAATTAATTCCTTTAGTAAATTAGTACAATACAGCTTTGTATATCATATCTCCGGTAAACCTGAATGCTCATAAAATATAAATCTGTAGAACTTGTAGAGAGTTGTAAAACTGTAAATCTTGTAAAGGCTAAAATCTGTTCTCTCGCACCTTGTGATGACATTTTATATGGTATTTCCTACCCTTATGAGCCAATCATAACCATTCTCAGTCGAACGGATCATGATTGACAGCAAAGGGCAGTCTTAACCAAACAAAATGTCACCCAAAGGTGCGTACTGACCAGGCCACGTGTCAGTAAGATGATGAACTAATGAAACGTTGATTAAAAGAAACACAATAATGAAAACTACGAGTATATGATCGTTCTGCTACAATACTTAAAAAATGTTTTCTGTAAAATATACATGTATAAATAGATATGTATTCTAACACTCATACATACGAATGTATTGTTACGAAAATGGCTGGCTGCCTGTTAGCCAGAAAATATATAATATTTCTGTCACTCGATATCGAAAAATTATTCTTAAATTATGGTTGTGTGGTTGTTAACTCATGGTAGTGTATGCCGGCGTCTGTTTGTAGCGTAAAGGTTCGTGGGGTGAAAATATATCACCAAGGAAGAACATCTGAGTTAGATTATTACTTTTCCTTATTTATGACTCACTTAAGTGATTATTTACAATTTTGTTTCGACATCTTTGACCAGAATTAATTTGTATTCTTTATAATTATGGATGTGACCATTTATTCATCTCCAAATACACTTTCACTTTCAATCATAGTTCCATGGCTGAGAGTCTGTTTTCACTTTGGTTTTTAATAGATTTTTTTAATTTGTTATTTGAAAGGTCTTAAGTTAATGGACACTTAACATGAACAGATTTTTAGTAAAGATCGGCATATATCAAAAGTAATAAAAGAACATTAAATAATAATATTGCATGACAGTGCAAATGAACGCTATACCCTGGGCTGTTGGCTACACACTATTCACCTATTACATGACCTTCTAAATTTGTATTGAATCTGAGGTTCATTAAGAATTCAAATATTGAGGTCATTAAATTATGATATTGAATGTGAAGAATTATTTCAGATGGTAGGTTTGAGAGTGGTTGCCAATCTGCCCAAGGTTGATGCTATTAAATCAATCACAAACAGATTAATTAAATCTACGTTGTTTATTTACAATTTGGCACTTGTGATCACCTTTACATATTGCTGTACCATAATTAGTGGTTACTGACTAAATTGTAATAAATAATTTTAGTTCTACAGTTTCAAATGGAGAACATGAATTCTCTTGTCAATTTACTTAATTACAATAAATAGTTTTAATTCTAATAATTTTAATTCTATAGTTTTGAATGGAGAACATAACTTCTTTAGTCAATTGACTAATTTGTAAGAAATAATTTCAATACTACTAATTTTCTAGATTCGTGAAAATAATAACATCCAGATTTCTAGATAGTGAAATTGTAGATTCATAACTCCTTCACACTAGTTTTCACAATGGAATGGGATGAAAACAAGTAACCTGCTCCAGAATTACATATATTTCATAACACCATCAATTTCTCTTAAAATATTTTGAAAATAATTGCTTTGTTCGCAAACATTGAATAATATATTGAGCTTCCCCATAGAATTTAACCATATTAAATTGCATCATATATCAGGATCGAGGGAATAATCTACCATTACAATCAAGAAGGCATTATTAACAGTGTCTTATTCAAAAGCATATGATCAAACAACGCAACGAGCCTTTTTAAAATACATCGACTGTAAGAAATAAAAAAAATACAAAATATAAAAAAATTCAATTCTACTCCTATTTGAAATAAATTTTGTAAATTGATAGAAACTCACTTGTCTCCTCCTTGTGATTGTAGAGCCATGATTATTCTCTTCCAATTACAATTATTATATACAAATCCACTACAAAAGCTTCTTTAAAGGGCAGTCCAAAGTACAAGATATTATAAACATTGATATGGGGATATTTCATGTTAGATAACAATTATGTCAATCATCATTTGATATAAGAATTCTTTTGATGGCCCGTTATAATCTTAACCCTCAGACATTCTAGTTTGATTGGTAATATAAAAATGATGTTTCCAAAGTCATAAATTCATAAATGAATTATACATAATTAACACATTTAATAATTGCAATAATACACTCCCTCAGTAAAAATGCTTCAGTGGTTATTTTACAATCAATCATTCCAGCTTATCTGTGCTGTGACTTAAAAAAATATAAGACATTCAATTTTATTTCCCTCAATATTGGATAACCTCATTGACAACATCCTTGCTGGCACCAGAACGCAATTATGACAATTTATGGTACACTTAAACCAACAAAAAATCATAATCTTTCCCAATTTACATGAACTCATCAGATTCCTATACTGTATCTTTTACATAAAATTTGATCCAAAAATACAGGAACATAAGCATTGATATGTGAACAAGTCACCATTGTTAGTACTTCAAAGTATCATAGTAACCAGGAAAGTTATCAACATTGTTATCATTGTTGAAAAGAATGTTATCATAACTAAAGAGAAACGTTATCATAGTAATTTAGAAATTTTATCATCAGTGAAATGAAATGTTATCATAACTGAAGATAAAAGTTATCTTAAGATATGAAAAATGTTATCATCAGTGGAATGAAATGTTATCATAGCTGAAGAGAAAAGTTATCTTAAGGTATAAGAAATGTTATCATCATTGTTATCATCAGTGAAATGAAATGTTATCATAGCTGAAGAGAAAAGTTATCTTTAGGTATAAGAAATGTTATCATCATTGTTATCATCAGTGGAATGAAATGGTATCATAGCTGAAGAGAAAAGTTATCTTATGGTATAAGAAATGTTATCATCATTGTTATCATCAGTGAATTGAAATGTTATCATAGCTGAAGAGAAAAGTTATCTTAAGGTATAAGAAATGTTATCATCATTGTTATCATCAGTGGAATGAAATGTTATCATAGCTGAAGAGAAAAGTTATCTTAAGGTATAAGAAATGTTATCATCATTGTTATCATCAGTGAAATGAAATGTTATCATAGCTGAAACGAAAAGTTATCTTAAGGATTAAGAATGTTATCATTATTGTTATCATTTGTAAAAGAAAAAGTTATCGTAGAATTTGAGAAATGTTATCATAGCTGAAACGAAAAGTTAGCTTAAGGATTAAGAATTGTAATCATCAGCAAAATGAAATGTTTTGATATCATTGCTGAAAAGAAAAGTTATCTTGAGAATAAAAAAAATTGTTATCACAGTTAAAATGAAATGTTATCCCCAATTGAAGTCTAACAAAAACGTACCAATGAAGTTATCCTGCACATCAAGAATTACATTTAGAACTATAATTATTAACCAATGCCGACCTTTTTACCCATTTTAGAAAATAATGTTATCTTTCCGTAATGAATGAATCTTAAAAGGTTATCATCATTGTAACTTTGTGAACAACTTAAAAATAAACCAAAAATTCCAATTTTTGTAACATTCCTCCCCTCTTTAAAACAATTGATGCTCCTGCATCAAGAAAATATAAACAACTGAGATTAAAAATAATTTCATATGTATTGCTTAGACCATTTATAGGTGGTACCATCTGGCAGTGTAATAGTGATTTCTGAATCCTTTCCATTTTGTAATAAATTTTCATGACGTTTAAACATTTCACTAATGCTTTCCCTGGATGGTGAGATTACTCTGTTTCTTCCCATCTCAGAGGCAGAGACCATAGAAGGTGCAACATTAGATTCTGAATCATGTGTAGAGATATTATCATCGCTCTGGTCTTCAGTAGGTATAGCATCATTTTCCTGCCCTACAGTGACAGAAGGTTCTTTGTTTAATAAATGGCACAGTTCCTTCTTATGATGTTTATACTGTTCAATGGAATGAAGTGGAATATTACATTTTGGGCAGGTGACATCTATGTCTTGATCAAAGTGCTGTTTAAAGTGTCTTGATAGATTACTCCTGGCTGAGAAGTTCTTATTACAAAGAGAACATCTATGTCTACAATTAAATATAGATAAGAGAGTCAAAACTAATTTTAAACGTACATGAAAGACCTGTTGCGTTGAGAAAATTTATATTGTAAAAAAAAAAATTCTAGGGTAAACTCAATGGCACTATCTGGAAACGCTGGAGGACTCTCATACCTTACTGGAGACATGGACGGCCGTTCCGGCAAGTCTATTGATATCAGCCTCCACTGTTGACTCATTCTAAGTCTATAATTTAAAAGAATGATGGTGTCATAAATATCAATTTGATGAAAGAATTTTATAACGGCTGGTGATGCAACGTCGCCACCCTCGACAACCTGTACTCGGAAGTGATCGGGCCCAGGAAAATCTTTCACCGCTATATCCTCTCCATGAGACAATGGGAAGTCATAGGCTGATGTGTTGTCTGTAGTTGTTCCCCAAGGGTAGACAGGTGGTGTGGCTGGTTTTCTCTCTTCTGAGTGGGAAACTCGTTGTACGACCTTTTTCTTAGGCATAATGTTGAGTAGCTACAAAAATAAAAGTTAATTAAAGGTAATAAATAATGGGATAGTTAGCACTGGGTAATCCTCTACACTATATTCTCCCCGAATCTCTTAAGGCAATCTTCTGCATCCCGATCCGCTGCCTTGTTGACCTGTTCAATACAGCGTGTCTCATCCTCAGGAACTGCTCTTCCCAAGAGTAAAGCAATCCCGACCTTACAAAGTATCTCATAATGATCATCACTCGCTACTAACAAGCAATGTTTTCATAGAATTGAGAAAATGATATCATTGCTGAAAAGAAAAGTTATCTTGGGAATAAAAAAAATTGTTATCACAGTTTAAATGAAATGTTATCCCCAATTTAAGTCTAACAAAAACATACCAATGAAGTTCTCCTACACATCAAGAATTACATTTAAAACTATAATTAACCAATGCCGACCTTTTTACCCATTTTAGAATCTTAAAAGGTTATCATCGTTGTAACTTACGTTTCAAGTGTCCAAAATGTTCCAAACTTAATGTAGTTCATCTCACAGCTCGATGATCATAGACCCCCAAAAATGTCACGCACTAGTTTTTATACCACCGATAAATGTTTAAGCGGCCACATAAATATAAAGCATTGAGAAATTCAACCAATAAGAAAATTTGTGAACAACTTAAAAATAAACCAAAAATTCCAATTTTTGTAACACTATTTATAAAAAATAATACTTCATTGTCAAATTGTAGTTTTAATCGTTTTTTATTTTTATTTAATAGGATGTAAAAATGAACACTATAGGGAGTAGTTAGGACTTTAATGAAAAACAATTTACTTCACTCTTAATATGCTTTAGTCACAGTTCATCCAAAAGTGGGCATACTTGTATTTCCTAGATTACATTACACCAAACATAATATACAGTGAAATTAATGAGTTAAAAACTATAAACAAAACTATACCACACCTGATTACGATTAGGCCTCTTTGTCATCTTAAAAGTTCTCCGTGGGCCAGTAATCTTAGCATTTGGACAATTTGCCAATGTTCCCCTCAGACAGGACTGACAAAAGCAACTGTGGTCTCTATATTTTACTTGACCCACCCCTGTTGCTGTGAAGCAATGGTTCACTCTAGTTTGTGGTACCGTCTTTACATTTGATCTTTCGACTCTATCACGGTTTATCGCTCCAAATGGAATATGGAAAAAATGCCGTTTAAAATGGACATGAGTTTCTGTTCCAGGAGAAGGTTTCGTAAGTTCTTTGCTGAGGAAGTCAGTTAAATCTGTCGAATTGTTTATCTCAACTTCACGGCTTTTTGTGGCAGTCTTAAACAATAAACAATGCCGATAATGACAAACATTTGACAAACAATCATTCTGTCATAGGGAAAAATGTCAAAGTGATCGAAGGGTCTATTAAATTATGATTACCAATAAGTTTATGAATTGTCAACAATGACAAACATAATTGTTGCTAATTATAAACAATTGTTTTATAAATTCACAGTGAATTATTGTTGTTTGTCTAAATTGACAAACATTGCTATAGGAGAGCTCAAGTAGGTAGTCCCCCTAATGATAAACATGTTTGTCATGACGCGTAAAATGCTAAACTTTTCTGACAATCCAGCGTAATATCTTGGGTGAATTGTTTGTCAATGCTAAACATTTTCAATTGAATACCTGTACCAGTGCCAAAACTGTCCCCTTATTGGTTAAATAAAAGATTGTCTAAAAGTTTGTCGAAAGCAATAAATGTTTGCCAATGATAAACAAAATAATGATAAACACGATAAACATTGACAGCTCATCGTGATATTAAGTTTTATGTTTACATTTTGACTGCTTAGATAGTTCTCCTCCGATGAGTTTTGAAATAGCGAAGATAGTGTACAAAAACATGGAAGCAGATACTTTTATATGCCATTGAGGGAATAGGGTGGCTGCATAAACCCAGTGTCTTTAGAAATAATTGACCAATAGGAGTATAAGAACATGTTTAAGTCGAGAACAGTGGAAAAATATAAGATTTAACATCATACGGAAATGCCAATGTAAATTATCAACAAAAATCCTGTTTTTGTTACATTCCCCCCAACCATGAAAATCTGATTCTCCTGGATCGGCTAAATTTTGTTTTGAAATTTGGAACACTGAATTTATAGGGCCCCGCCACTCCACTCGCTAGTTCCCTCAGGGGTGTAAAGGACCACCTTCGAGTAAAAATTTTCCCTTATAAGGGTAACGTGCCTTTGAAAACTTTTGTCAAAGATAACGTTCTCAACATTTTGAATTTTATTTACAAGATTGTCTTGTAAGTAATGATTTGGTGGATCCCTATTCCACTCAATTGATCCTGAGAGTGAATTAAAAATAAATTTTGAATGAATATTTTGTCTTAGAAACGTTTCATGATTTTCTAACATTTTACACAAATGTAAACTGATGTTTACTTTATTGTCTTGAATAGTATTGATGTTAGATATGACATCATGTTCCGCCGTCACCACTTCCTCCAATGCGTCTTCTATTTCGATCTCACGTTCTTGCTCATTAGTAGATTCGGAATCACTTGTTGGCTGCTGGTCATTAGTTAATCGTTGATTATTAGCATGTTGTTGTAGACAAGGTTTGTTGTGACGTTTGAAGGAAGTATAGTTGGTAAAATCTTCGTTACAGAGACTACAGGTTGCTGCACGCTTGTCTGTGAAATGTATTTTATAATGTCTTGTTCGTCCGGACCTGCAATGTATTCTTTTTCCGCGACTGAGCATTGTTCTGGGGGAAGTCTGAATTGTACAAGATTTCTTTTTGTTTAAATGTAGATTTCACTAATGTTCAGCACACCGAGACATAAAATGAAGAGAAGACAGAAAGTTTTTAGTGGAAGAAAGTTAATGCTTGTATAAGATATTTTCTACGGCATTACGGAGGATGTCCTCCTCCCTTCTGGCGGCACGTAGGTCTGCCTCCAGCAGGCGCACATCCTCCTCAAGGGCCCTTCTTTTCGCTTTCTCTCTGCGTAGAGCTTCCCTAAGCTGACTTCTGGCTAACCGTTGTCTGAGTGCAATCCGTCGTTTTCTGATCCACTTCTTCCGATCCTCATTGTAGGGCTCTAGTAACAGCCGCATCTCTGCCCGAGATGCGGCCATGATGCTCTCATGTGATGGTAGAGGTAACACCTCAAAGAGTTCTGCCAACTCATTGTCCACATCTAATGGTTGAATGTTCCAGAAGGGATCCATGCTGTAAGAGTAATTTATAACTCCCATTAAAGGTTTTGAACTAGTTGCCACATTGTACCCATGCTATACTCACTTATGTCCCTTTTGTAATTAACTAAATACCTCCTTCCATCGTTTCTTAATCTACTAGCATTACTCTATTTATCCTATTCACTGGTGTTAGTTCTTTTTACCTCTAAAAGAGTATTGTCACCTCATTGTTTATCTAACTCTTTTTAATTGTCTTTTAGATATATTACTTTTGTCAAGTTACTCCTTTATTGCACTTACGTTTTGTTGTCTCATTACTCGATTAAATGCTTCTATATGATTTGATATATGAATGTCTATACGTGGTTTTTTGTTTGTTTTTTATGAATTTAATTATCCCTTCACCGGATTAAATATTCCTATATAGTTTGATATATGTATATATAAATGTTTTATGCGCATATTTCTGAATTTAATAGTCCTCCCACCAGATAAAATATTCCTATATAGTTTGATATATGAATATATAAATGCTTTATGCACATGTTTCTGAATTTGGTTGCAATATATTCAGTAATTCACGATAAGGCCAAAGGACTTGGATTATTGGTTTTGCGTCCTTTTAAAATTGAATATCATCATGCAAGCAAGGTGAAAAAACAAACACAAAAATAAAACAAAATTGAAAATACCATAAAAATTTACCGTTTTCACTAATTTTCCTTTTAAATCTTTTGATCGGCGGGCCTGCAGTACAATCTATAGTCGACTGTCTAGAGGAAATGAGGGTAAAAATGTTTGTGTTTGTTTTTTTTAACTTTTGGTCAAACTGTACACGCACGCGGACGCAAAACCAATAATCCAAGTCCTTTTGCCTAAGTTCGGTGAACGGGACTTTATGGTGGAAAGATTTTATTCAATTTTCTTCTTATCCTCCCATGGTCGATGGAGGTCATTATCAGGCAACAAACTGAACTTCCAATGGTGAAGCTTTTGACGCAGCTGGGGCTCCCTCCTTGGGTGTGCCTACATTGGGGCTTGTAATAGTTGATGAAGCTGGAGTTTTCTTTTTGGATCCACCTCGTCCCGGTCTTTTGACTGGCTTCTCTGCCTTTCGGACATCATCCGCTTCCTCCATGGCGTCCCACACTTTTTGTAGTAATTTGAAATTCTTTTTCCCTCTTACATGGATCACAAAAACCTCTGGTTTTGTTGAATCATTCAAGTTGATGTTGGATGGTACTGTTGTATCCCAGATCCTTAGTTGGCATTTGCGGTACTTTCAGCTCGTCTAACTGTAAATCCTTTATATTACATTAACTTATTTAATTTGCTCCTTAATTTATTACTTTTGTTAAGTTATTTCGTCGTTGCACTTTTAGTTGTCCCATTACTGATTAAATGTTCCTCTTTGCTTTGATATAAAAATATATGAGTGTCTTATATGTTTTATACATTTTATTACCTGCTGACCAGATTAAATAATCCCATATGATTTGATATGTGATACATAAATGTTTTATGTGCATGTTTATAAATTTGGTTGAGATATATTCAATATTTCAAACTTAATAGATTTTTCAAACGTAATAGTTTGATAAAAAAAAATATTGTGAATGGAATAATCTGATGTTTATGGGCAGTGTATATTATATATGAACATTTTCTCAATGATATGGTGACGGTTGGTGAGAAAGGGGATATTAGACACCATTTTGTTCACGTTGGATTACAATTTACGATAGTTAGGCTTTATTTTATTTTCAAAAACATGCATGTTCTTCAATAACCATTATTAATGTGTATAGAGACTTGATTTCATTTTGAGCTCACTCAATTTGGTGATTACAAGGAAACAGCTATGACCCTCAGTTTGCCAGTCAGTAATCTATTTTACAAATGTCTCAAGCTTTGGTGAATATATTATTGTTCATGTTTAGATATGGGAAGATGACTAGTACCTTGGTCATGTAAGATGACTGCTATCCCAGGAGTTGATCACAAATATTTATGCTTTTATACATTTACTGTATACCCCACAAACTATTGAATGCATGATCTAGAGATGTAAATGTAGTAAATAATTGGAGTATAAATGATTGGTTATTTGATTAAATTTATTGTATTATATAATTTTTACCTTTTCACATCACAATATGTTAGATGTAATGTTTTACATTGTCAAAATATGTAAAAACATGGTTAATTAAAAGAAGCATGATTGCTCCATATTTTGTTATACCCCTTCTGTGATTAAGTAATGATCATCTCCTATTACAAAGGAGTTAATTTATCAGACTATACATCATTAAACTCCCAAAAAACAATTTGCCCTAAGGCATTAGTAATTAATTGGCAAAATAAGGATCTTGAGACACAATGACCACTCTTTTGTAAATGGTACTTTGTAAATGGATATATAAACACTTTCTCGAGTTTTAATATCAACCATTTATAGGCATTATATTCTCGATAAAACAATGTTAATATACAATACATATTTAACAAATCAAATCCTCATTATGATAATACAAAACCAAACTGTTTATAGATGTCCTTTTTATATTGAACAGTAAACTGAACTTTATTTGCCTTACTTATGTAAATATTCTTGAAATGAAAATCTGGATACCGTGTGGTTATACATACTTGTTTTAAATGAAAATTGCAGTCACTTCTGGACATTGAAATCTTTAACTGACCCTCTTTATTGTATGATCTATAGTCATAACAGGCAAAAATAACATTCAATGGAGGTTTTAGAATTTCCTCTTCCTTTCTCCATAGCACTTGGATGTTTTAGTTGTGTTTAGGAATTTTACCCTCTATTTGTGCTCTTCCCCTGGGTGGTGTAGTTGGGGCAGTGTACATATTTTCTTATTCCTATTGGGTAGCACCTGATTTCTGCCCTACTGTGGGCGACAGCCCCAGGGCTATAGTCCTAGTAATATTAACATTCTGTGTTGAGTTATACCACTCTAAATATTTTTGAAGCTCCTTATTTTTGTCCGAGACTGCCATCGTGTGACAACAAAGTGACCTCCTTTTATATACATCACACTGGCATACATACCTCAAAACATGTTTGATCAGAAATACAAACATTTTTATGGAATAAAATCAGATATGAAACTGCATGAAATATAATTACACACACTTATGCATGATGAATGATTCACAGAAAAATGTAAAATACATGTTTGTTTTCAATTAAGTCTAATGAGACTAATTTCTATTTACTTAAAACAAACATGTGGAGACATACAAGTCATAACACGTTACATTTTACATTTCATATTAAACTTAAAAAGACCCATATTTGCAACCACTTGGTTATGGATTACTATTAAAATTCTATTGAATACCTTAAACCAATCAGAGTCAATGTTCACTGGACTGAACAGTCCATATTTGGCACAGAATAATGTATATGCATAGAAACCACATGTAAAGCACATGGACTCATGTATAAATAATAAGTAGATCTTCATATTTTATATTAAAGTCTGTATTTTAAATTTCATACTCACAGATATAAGTTTTTAAACTTGAGTATTTAACTCTAATAAATCCAAGAGTATTCATAATGTATATTCAGTTATCAGTCAAATTGTCAATTGGTCAAAAATGTATGTTTTATTCCCACGTGTGTCCTAAATTGTTGACACCTTGTACATAAGGATACCATTGTCTGACAACTTTAATAATGCAATCAGGCATTAGATCTCTTCTATGATGTACAAGTCATCTCATCCCTTGATGTCTGTCAAGTGCCAGTTTCTTTCTTTTAATATAAGTTGGATTATTCCACATTCCTTTGTTGGACATAGTGCCCCAAAAATATTTGTACATTGCTTTTCTCAGCCTGGTATTGTCAGGACTTGGTCTGGACACATTTTCTGCCTACTAACATTTCTGTTTGTATCATCTGTGATACATGGGTCGCATAAGCAAAGTGGGGATATTGTGTCTCCATTATTCTCAGGTGGATCATGAGATGGACCAGATTCCTCATCCAGCTGCTCCTGTCATAGACTCATAGTACTACAAACTGGTTCATTTGATTCACTATATGCAATACTGCTCAATATCTCATCATTTGAAGGAACATCTATCTTCCATTTATTTTTCCTTTTCTTAGCTTTCTTAACAATATGTCGTCAATTATTTACATTCAAATAAAACAATACCTATGTTCCTCTTTTCTATTTTTTTACATTTAAATGATCATCATTTACCATTCCAGTAAAACAATCAGCAGTTTACCTTGTTGTCCACATTTCCAGTTAAACAATCAACATTTACGTAATCTGACCAATGTTCATTTTTGTTTTGCAGCAAAATCTCAAATATAATTTATTTTGAACTATACCACACACATATACTGCTAATTTATACAATCACAATTATGCTCCAGGGGAAACATGGGCATAACAGAATCACTAAAGATTTTACAATCATCTTATATGTACATATATCTAATGGCTACATTACAAATATGATCCCACACCCATATCTATGACATCATGTACATGTACGATCAGCAATGAAATAAGCCA